TGGAGCGAGTTGTCTGCATGGGTGTGTTGTCTGCTATTGCAGACATTGCGTCGCCTTCGTGCACTCGCCCGAACACTCCATAACCGCCGTTCTTTCAATGTTAAACTCGTTCAACTCCCCTCCCCAGCTCTTTTTTGACCCTTTCTATTTCTTTTTGTTCATCGTTTTTTGCGCTTTTTTCGTTGTTATCGCTCTATTCTAGAGTAGTTCTATGAATTCCCGTCAAAAAAGCGTACCCTAAATTTATCGTAAACGGTGCCTTTAATTTACTCCATTTCTAAGTGAAAACGGAAGAAATCAAAGTGGGGCTTATTGAGCTCACTCTCTCACCAGAGCTCGGTAGGTAAATTACGAAACGGAACAATATGGTCAGACGAGAAGCGTTTTCTATTGAATCCCTACCTGTATATCGATGGAGAAACCATATAATTCCCACTTCAAGAGAGCTTATGTAGGCTTGCTCATTAGGTATAACCCCAAGTTGGAATCACCGAAACGGTGGCGCGGCCCGGAATGAGTTCGATCCTGATACTGCGCGAGTGGTAGCGGCGCCATTCGCCGCTTTTCAATATTTTAGCTACATAAGTAAATAAGGCAAAATATGCCTCAATGGTAAAGAATCCACAACGGAACCACCCCTTTGCAAAGGTAGCTCCCTTAACTCGTACCATTACTTTGTCGTAATACCACCACTAGCAGAGTGATCGTTTGCTACTTTCTGTTAGCTCTTCTGTGAACTTTGCCTACAAATAGCCTCGTTTTTTTGAGAGCTACATTCAGGTACGCTTGCCATTTTGATCAATTCTGGGCTAGGCTTTCGACGGACAATGCTGTACAATATGATCCCGATTCTGCTCAGCTATTTTGGCTTCATCTGTGGTGTACTGTTGGATAATGTCGATGAAGATTACGACGAATTCATCTTCTCAATATCATCTGGGATGTACTTATACATCTTTCTCGGCACGCTGGTAATCCTTATGATCGTTTCAATGCTAGTATATAGTTTGTGCTGTTGATTGAAATTATCATTCCACGGTTAGGCAGTGGTGGTGTAGTGGCAAGAGGCACACACATGATCCGGATATCGGACCCTAGATAGATATTTGCACAAGACAACTGGGCCTTCCTGTAAATTGGGACCAAACTTGTCCGTTATGATAAAAACGCTGACTTCTACATAGGCTAGCTACTGCAATTGCTAGTACAGGTCACTCCGCAATTATTAAATGCCACAACGATTCTGAATGGAATTCGAACACTGGGCGCATCCCATTGTTGAAGATGATTTGCTCCCAAAGAATTAACTCTTATCTTTTAACATCCTAACAAACAAAAGGACTCTGAAAAGGGCTGGATAGTGGCGGCTGAACTCAACGGAAAGCGCAGGCCATGAATAAGATTCAGCCCAAAATATCTTGGTCTCCATCCTTTTATCAACTACAAATGAGTCCCATCTACCGCAACATACGTCAACCAAAGTCTGTCGATGGGATAGTTTCGTGCCTTTTCTTGTAAAAAGACGTCATCAACATCAGCAACTCTCAAGAACAAGTTCGAACCACTTCATAAATTCTTTTACTAATTTCTTCTCCTCACAATGACGCAAATTCAAAAAAAGTTTTTGAATTTTCATAGGAAAAAAGACAGTTACCACGCTCCCAGCGGACGTCATTTCGCGATTTCTCTTCGATAATCGTAGATGATTTGTCATTTTCTTCCTATCTAACGGCTTTTCCCAGATGTTATCGGCCAATACTCTTAGCGGCGCAGGGGTTTTCTCTATGAAAATCATTGTCGAAGGCAAACTTCTTCACAAAGTCAAAGGACGAAAGCCAAAACGTGAAGTCTCTAGGAACCAATCAATCTCGTTTTGAAGATGCGCCCTATCGGCAAAGTTAAGATGTTTCAAATGCGCATATGTATGGGCATTTACCCTGCCGACAATTTTGGTTCCAACTAGATGACCTGATGATGAAAAACTTGGTTAACTGGGTGGGCAGCAACCCTGGGTTCGGTCTACGGACCATTCATGTGCCTACAGGGAGCACGACACTACACCACCTACACTCTCAAGTTTTTATGTATTGCAAAAAGGGAACATCACAATTCCATTTCACAGGCAGATTTATAGGCAAAAAGCTAGGTTTCAAAACCTTTTTCAGATACCCGAAATTCGCGAAGGATGTAATGAGCTGATGAAAGTCAATATGAGGGAGAGTCTTCTCGTTACGTTACTACAATACCTCGGGATTACAAGCGGCATTTGCTTCATGTACTATATGAGTACGGTTGGCGAAGTGGAACTCTAATAACTAGACACAACTGGTAGAAACCTACTATACTACAAAAACGCTCATTCATGATTGTTCACTTCTACTTGTATTACCTACTCCTTATCTATGTCCTTTAGCTTTAACATTTCGCTACTGTCTTTAGACTGTCGGTACGGTACTGCAGCCCTTAGTATGTGTAGGTGTGGTATCCCAAAGCACCAAACTTCTCTGCCATGTCTCCTCTCAAAAATTGCATCTGGGAAGTTTACGGACAACACTTGCCACACACCAACATCCGTCTGCGCACATCTTATCCCAATCTTAATTCCATCACATATACGACGCATAAGGAGAGACCTAAACCTTAGGCGTGCAGTCGTTCACCGTAGGCGTTCCCCTAACCGTCACCGTCAAAAACAGACGTTCAAGCCAGGACCCACGTCCATTCTACAGTATGGACTGCATGTCCGTCCTCAATTAGAGATAGGGTATTCTCTGAAATCGACTGTGTCTGTGTAACTTTGCCAAAAATGTGTCTAGCCGCTCGGGTTATAAGAGATTTGGTAAAAATGTATAGTCAATTAGTGCTGAAGGTGAAACTAGTCTATTATCAGCGACACCGAACAGCAGTTCGGCTCGGGTTGCCGTACTAGGAATACCTGAACTCTGAAAAATCCGACTGTTCAGACTAGGAAGTGGATGGTCCCAATTCACACCGCTGATTTTATAAAATATTAGTAATGGCCCACCATAAAGAACGATGTTTTAAAGTGAATTTACCCGATAAATAGACGCGCGCGAATCGCGGCTTTGCAGCTCACTGTTTATGCTGCAAAAGAGATAGTGCACAAACTGAGGAGCCGTAGACTGGCAGAGACCATCGACATCGGTTATAGATCATCCCTAGAGTATAAACCACATGTTATCTTATCGGACCCTAGAAAAACACGGGTGTTCACTCACTATTGTATTTATTTTCTCATTTTCTACAACTGAGTGCATTCGACGTCGTATTATACGATATAGTTTTATAATTGTGTACTGTGATAAATTATTAGATTCAACTGTAAAAACATCGATTCGGAACAGTTTTATTAACAGACATGCACGTTGGAAAAGGCCAGCGGTTTGATCTAAAATCCTTAAGAAGGTATTTGACAAGGCCAACGAGGAATCGAAGAGAGGAATAAAGCAATAGAATACGAAAAGAATACCAAAATATCATCTGTAAGGGCTGGAATATAGCAAGATAGCTGGTCTACAAAAACATTTAAAAAATAAAAGAAGGGTATGCAGGTTTGAAGCAGTTAGTAACAAGCGAAGCCGTTCATTTTCGGTTTTGCTTCTCCTTTAGGCCCCTCTTCCTTTTGAGAATTGTCTTTGACTCGCCAGTGCGGCTACGACGACGTGGTTTCCTTGTAAGTGAAGGTGGATTATTCTCTTCTTCCGCAAGTTCCAGGGACGGAACCTTCAAGACGCTGTTCTCGTCAGGTGCCGACGACGAGGATAGAACATTTCCTACATGCAAGCTTGTCTTCGAAGGTGATGATTCCAAAGTGAAATCACTCATGAGCTTTTCAACGAGCGGGATCGGTGAAATTCTCTGAAGCGACATTTTGGGAGTTTCCTCCACATGCTGTCCTGGCAATGTTGGCTCCTGCATGCTTTCAAAAGAAGGCTCCTCTTTGATCAAAGGAACGTGCGGATCATCTTGTAGAGAACTCGAAAGTTCCGGAGTAGAGTCCAGACCGATCAGCCCTTGAGATGAAGGTCCCGAAATCCATTCCTTAGGTCCAGATATCTCGAAAACTGGCTCGCAAGGACCAGATGACGCTTCATTAAGTACAGACTGCTCAGTGTTACCATGGGAGGGCACTGCCAGGGAGACCCCTTGCGAAGTAGTGGGATCCGCTGTGTCGACCGGAGTGTCCGAATCAAAAATCCCAATTTGGCTCCGGAGGGAGCGAAGTCTGATCTGCGTTAGGTGCCTGATGCCGTTGGATACTGACTCCCCGTCTGTAGCTAAAATATGCCCGACTCTTCTTTTGGTAGTAGGATCGTGTGCGGAACGACTAGAAGGACGACAAAGTCTGACCCTTTTTTTAGATGAAGAGCGTTTCCTTTCTGAACTGGTGCGATGATTTTCTGAAAGACGACTCAGAAGGAAGCTATCAATTTTGCTTTGATGAAGACGACGAGGATTGCTGTCTTCCGAGGAACTGGGCGGATCATTGATGGATTTAGTGTAATCAGAAGAACGACGCTTCCTGCAAGTGTTCCTGTTGCTGCCGCTGGGTCTAGCAGAATCAGTACGACCAACATCTTCGCTTCTCAAGACTGATGAAAACCTCCGGCGCTCTGCTTTTGGTCTCGAACGTCGGGACTTTTCACTTCTGTAAATACATTGCATTGCTATCACTCAAGATGCATCGTTATCTCACAGCACTTACTTCGAACGCTCAGATTTCTTCGATGAATGGCGAGAACTCCTAGACCGCCTAGCAGAGGATCGTTTTCTCTGGTCCAATCGGAGTGGAGCATCAGGGTTTTTCGACAGTTCTGATGTTTTGGAGCAATGCATTTTTTGCGCAGCCCTCTCGTCATCGCTGTCGAGGTTCTTAATAAAGTCCCTCACATCAAAATTTAAGTTCTATTCTTCATAAAATAAAAGTGAAGTAATGGAGTTCTTCGATTAAAATTCAATTGTTGCTGGTTACAAAACAAAGGAAGTCGTCAGGTACCTGTATATCAGTGAAATAACTCTTAGGCAGTTCAAAGTCACTAGCTGTCGTCAGTTCTGGAGGCAGCGGTAGTGCTATCATTTCTCTGAACTCCAACGAGTTTGTATCGTACAGAGCATTGATTTTTTCCCAGATCTGAAACGATAACTACAGAAAGAGAAGGGATTCAAAACGGGCCGATAAGCACCTGATCCGCTGTTGGGCGAATACTGTAGGACGGCTCAAAGCGAGCTACACGTTCATCTGGTGGAAGTTCCAATCCGGCGGCGTACTCTTGGAGATCAGCATCGTTCAGGAATATGTTCACACCATCTTCCTTCGCATATATGTGCTTCATATACATGACGATTAGATCCATGTTGATGTGTTTATTGATACCTGCAAAACGGTAAATATTTACTCCTTGATCAGTGAGAAATGCATTTCAGCGCAGCCTACTACATCGACTTGCCAAAAACCAACTCAGAGGAAGAGGGGACGGTCAGCTGCGGAAGGAGCGCAATCAAGCGAAGCTTTGACCTCTTAAGGACAGCCTGAGCGCCACCAGTTGGTCAGAAATATTGGTAAGAATGCTGGAGCTCGGAGGCGGAGGCGATTTAGTGCCAAGTGGCGCACCATATCGCTCGCGCGGTCCGGGACTGGACCCCTTGTCAATATCTGGCCACACCAAAAATCTGCCCTAACCATTTATTGCAGTTTTGGGATACGCGATTTATACGGTAAGCACGGTATTCGGTTGGAGGACAAATTCACACGGTCGAGACTGGCTGCTTTCATAGTCCACCGGCCCCCCGTGAGCGCGCGCCGGCCGGAGACGGCGCTATCTACTTGACATTGGCTGCTTTCAGACTCCGACGTCCGTTGCGGTCGCGTAGCATGCGTGCGACGGCGGCCCTAGCCCACTTGTACACAACACTGGGTCACTGGATCACGTCTGAAAGCAGCCATCACTGACTGCATTTGCCTGCTCGCCGTCACTCCTTCTGGTGCGCGCGTGTGCGTCGCAGACGCCCAGCAAAATAATGCCCACTAATTCCGGGTTTAAATTACTTAAACACACAGAAACCAAATGACTGTGAAAAAAATCGACAGCAGTCGATATGCCGGAGCTTCCTGGCACTCGGGCACCCATCACAATCATGCCGCTACGGGCTGGTGACAATTGAATAAAAAGAGAAAGAGAAACTAACCGATAGGTCTGTACTTGAGCACAAGTTGTAAAAGACGAGCTTCTGAAAGCGGACACCACTCATTTCCCGAGCTTTTCGGCTCATCCAACGGAGCGAAGAGCGAGTCAACGATTTGTTGTTTAGACATCCTACTGAAAAGCAAATATCGGTAGTAAATATGTTTACAGCTTTGAAACTGTTGATGAATTGAAACCAAGTAGAAAAACTAATCCATTAAGGGGTGGATACATTAAAATGAGTCGAGCACAAAATTCCTTAGGATTATGAATCAAGCAAATCGACTAAGGCTAGAGGGCAAAGTTGAGCCGTGAACCTCTCTCAACTCGAATCCACGACCCAAACTATTGACCAAAATCCTGTGTCAGGGGATCATTTGTACAGTATCTGGAACGTAAAAATCCCCGAAAATTTCTGAAACTGCAAGGATACTTAATCCCTTCAGATTTGCCCGTTCGAATTCTTATCACAAAAGACGAACACGGCTCTTCCTGATGCAGATTAAAGACCCCATCAGAGTTGGTTGACTGACGAAAACACAGTTCATCAATGAACGTCATGTGTAGGCGAAAAAAGCGTAGAATATATAGAATTTGGTTTGAGGGCCACGCCTTTCCGCCTCCCTGCCTGCGCTCTCCTAGCGAGGTAGTACATTAACGGCCAATTCTCTTCCGTTTCAAAGTTTTGCCCGGATCTAGCATTTCAACTACTACGGTGCTTATATGATCCTTACGCTCAGACGAGAGACTCAAATCCACTCAGAATCGTTCTTGAGCACCGCTAAAGAGCAGCGAAGCTAAATCCATCTTTGCGCTCGAGCCTTAATCTTAAGAGACGAGTGGCATGGCCCTTCCAATCACATTTTCATCCGTGCGCCGTGTAATTCGCGACTGGGAAGGTCTGATAGGATTTCTTGGAAAGGGGCTGTGTTGTGCGAATGAAAGTGAAGGGAAGCATAGCCGATAATTTTGAGTTGCCAAGGCTCTTTTCAAACTCCAAATTTTTGTAGGTTATAAAGCTATGGGACTTTGTTTATGAATTGGTAAATTTAAATTTGGAGGTGACAATGAGGACTTTTAAACACTGGGGAAGATTGATTAAAGTCTCCGTCGTCAACGGATTGGAATAAGGTAGGTTCATCCGGGACTAATTTCCTACGGGTGCGTTTCGTTGCGCGCGTCTGTCGAAACTAGGTCACGCCGCAGCCGTCGCACGCGGCACGTCAGCTCGCGATTTTTGACAGACGTCGCAGTTGTAAGGGGGCATGGAAATGGCGCTTGGCCCACGACACTCAGCCTGAAGAGATGATAACACGGACTAAGGCAAATAATTCGCTCCACTAACACTGAGCGGTACTATGATCACTCATTTCGAGATCGCAATGGGCTGCGCCGCGGGCGAAGTGGGCGGGGTAACCTAGTTTCGACGGACGCGCGCAACGGACGTTCCCTGTTTCCTGCACGCAGGTAAGGCGGAGTCCTGTCGCAATAATTGACTAGTTTACCTACACTCCTTTTCTAACGCCAAAATTGCATACTAACTATAAGAATAAAGAAGTAATAGAGTCAAGTCGACTGGATAGTCACAGTAGAAAAGTAATAGAGTCAAGTCATCAAAAAGAATGTTTCCCTTACACTTCTTCAATTGTGAGTTTATCGAGAAATAGAGAAAAAGCAAATTTTCATTTTGCTACCAGTGAAATGCCATGTGACCCCGTACTTTTAATAATTTCCAAGAAACGCCGCATTTATCGATCTAATCAATGCTGCCGCTCGCGCGGCTCGCCGACGCTGCACAGCGCAGCCCAATCGATACGCATCTAATTCGTTTAGCAACTTCTCTCAGTGAGGCGCGGTGAGAGGCGAGCGAGTTACAATCCTACTGGATCAAAAGGGAGCCGAATGACTTCTCACTGCTTTTTGACTAGCAGCAGTAGCCTTGGGCAGCAGAAAATCGTAGCCATTAGGGCTTTCTACTCGTGCGGTGTTTAGCATTTAAACTGACACTGAATGAAAAACTCACGTCTTAAAGACAACAGGCTTGTCGTCGACTTTGTGACGAGGGGTGCGTCCAATAGATCCCATCGCTCAATTTCTGGAAGAAGACCGTTGAACAATACCAAGGAAATTCCTGAAAGAGAATGGCTCCAGTAAATTAGAACGGTTTAGAACAGTTCTAGAAATATCGACAACAGAAGACCAGACAGAAGTGAAAGAAGGACGCCGAATGACACCGTGGGCGGCAAATGGACGCGTTTGAACTTGGACCCAGCTTGAACCGGGTGTGCATGATTTTCTTGGTGGGACCAAATGCCCCTTGTGTGACGCACGAGGACATGTAGGTCGCTGGCGTGACCATCTCATTGGGACGCGTTTTCTGCAGGTAGGACACATCGTCAAAGATGGATGGACATCGTGGGTGTTATTGAGCAAATCTGGCCATGTTAAGGAGCACAGATGCAAAGAATATTAAGTATTTGCTTAGGTGTTGGACTGTGTGGGCGAGTCCCATCGCAGAACGCGGGCCACGGGGGGGCCGTGTGGCTAGCGTCCCAGATTCCTAAGCAGAAGAATATTGCGAAAGAAGCTTCGAGAGCGTCTATAGTGGCGAACTTCGGACCACGAAGAAATGACTGGTAAGTAAAAGTAAGACCATGAGTTGAAGGGTCTAGTGAAGCCGTAGGACATTATTTGCAGACTAATAGGACGCCGTCTCGGCTAAATATTACAAAGACAAAGGGAAAATCGGGAAATAGAACGCTTAGGTGCGAGAGTGATACGCAATACGCACTTTTGCAGACCTTTCATAATTCTTTTTTATATTATTTTTTTTTGTTGGCGTCAGAATTCTTTAGCTCTTTATCCTATGTTCTTAGCCTAGCGCACACCCTTCCTTCGAGCATTCACAGAAAATTCTCATGTACGGTTTTTGCTACCGCACTCGTTCGCTCGACACAGGCAGTGGGCTAACTGCGCCATATGTGGGAAGCAGAATGAGTTAGTGTAGAGCCGTCCGCGCCACTTGTTGACTGAATTAAAATCTCAATGTAACTAGCAGGAAAACTAGAGTGGCGCCTATTCGCCGCGTTTATACTGCAATTATCTCGCGCGGTGGCTGCGATGGCGCCTATTGGCCCGCCATTATCATTAGGCTTACTGTACATTAAATCAGGTAAAACGTCATTGATTTATTGAGTAGAGCATGGGCTGAGGGGCTGACAGGGCATCCACAATTGTTCTTAGTTTGGATGGAGAATGGCGTATTCGGAAAAGCTTCAGAGGACACCAATTCGGAGTGTGAAAGGTCACGCACGTGACGACATTTGATGATCCTGACAAGATCATAGTAGGGCTAAAACAACACTGCTTAACACTGGCTATTTTTTTTCTTTTCAATAGACCTTTCACCCTGTTTTCACGATTTGCACGCTGTTGTGAATATCATTCCTTGCCTTGATTTCAGGTCCGTAAAACTAAACCCTCGATGAAAATCACTTGTGCACATATTCACCTAGGAATTATCGCTTTATTAGCTTAACTAGCTAATGGCAGCGTCACTCGTACGGTACGGGCGTTAGTGCCTTAAAGTCGCCGCGCACAATGACCGGCGCGACCACCGCGTCAGAAGCGATGTCGTCCCCGACCACTAGTTGGCTCTCATAGAACAACACACTTGACGTATGTTTTGCCGTCGCCGCAGTCACACCATAAGACGAACGAGCTCTTTGAACATGATTCCTAGAATGTATAGCTTCAGGAGTGGCAAGTTGAAGCTTTGCTGGATACTGCCCGCTTCAATCAGGTAGCGACAGCGCTATGATCAGCTGATCTGATCCTGCTGCCGCTTGACTCAACCGAATTGCGAGCTCTGCAGTTTACCGAAGAATCATTCTCACTTATGCTATAGTTCAGTCCCTACCTACCTTTACCACATATTTTGTGGTCTGCTCGTTTTCTCTCCAAGCTATGAGTTCCTTAGGTAGCAGCGCTCCCTTCAGCTACGCTCCTTTCACTCCTTTCTTGCGCCCTTGATACCACACGAGGACTCGTTGCTTGATTTTATTTTATTTCCCCGACCTGTAGGCCAGGCGGGATCGAGCTATGGATTCTTGAGCACTACTGACTTACCACCCATGGGTGAACTCCACTTACTTCATGTCAGCGCTGTATATTTTCGCTCTAATTCTGACTGACCCGCCTCAACCTTAATTGGGTTTTTCTAGAAGCTTCCTCGGGTAATCTCAACTTATTGACCCATAAAACAAAGCGTTTTATACTTGAAAAGGCTTCAACGGGAGTGATTCTGCACTGTGTCTGCAAGGATTCATTTATATGGCTGATTTTAGGGAAAAGTTTTTTGCGAAAGAAGGCAACGCTCTCCGTTGTTTCCTGTATAATATAATCAGAATTTGGGACTCAAATGCACTGTTTATTAACGAATCTTGCTTCTACAGTTCAGTCCAAGAATTTGACAGATTTATTACTGGTGGTCTCAACGTCGGAAGAAATCTGTATTACGAGGTGCTTGCCAACTGAATAGGTGTCGACGGAGGTTATTCACTTTCCCGGTGATGTCGCCGATCGATTGTGGGGCGAAAGATTCTCCTGTCACCTGAAATTTCATAAAATTTGTGAGGCATGGGAAATAAAATATACGTTTTGTAGAACTCAACATGTAAATTATTTCCAAGCGCAAAGAAATCGTGACCACAGTGCAACTCTAATATTTGTGACATATGCTAGGCCCATTTTGGCAGCAGTAGGGCTGATTATACAGCTGGTTGTAAGGCATGGGTTATAAGGTGCCAGTCAGGTCATCGTACCTCAACTAGGGCACCGGGCAGGGCAGCCTCAGGTATTCATGTCAGGACTCCCCTGGCCAGCTTTGGCGATGTCAGCAATCGACGGCGCCATTTTTCTTTCACTGAAGGACCCATCTCTTCAACTTTGTCTTTATGTTTTTATTTTCAAGAAGAAAGTAGCAACAAGCGGAAACTTCAGAAAAAAAANAAAAAAAACTCCATGCCATCGAATACTGCCAAAGTGCCAAAGCTGATGGGAAGGATCTGGGGAGAAATTCAAAGACAGACTCATGGTTAGTTCTCCTCAACAGGCCGATTAGAGTGAATGG